TAATTTCCTCTTGGTTCAGTTTTGGATGGTCATATGTATCTAGAAATCTGTCCATTTCTTTAAGATTTTCAAATTTATTTGAATATAGGTTCTCAATGTAGTCTCTATGAGAATTTTTCTGATCAAAAGATTTGCTCTACCAGGCATTCTTAATTCTGGTCACATTACCTTGGTCAAAGTCAGAGGAACTGTAGAGAAATATTCTACTATTTATTGTAACTAATGGGGAAGAGGGTGCTGGAAGGAATGCATGCATGTACTTTCTTAATGCTTAGTACAATGTTTGATTTTTTTACAGTCCTAACTCCTGATTCTGGCTTGCCTGATTCCCATGCCAACTGTCCCTGTTCTAGCCAGCCTTGGGGGTTGCAGGGGGATCTCAAGGACATTGTCACAAAGCCCTCTTCCATTAAACTTTATTAAGAGACAATACAAGGCCCACCTTCTGGATTTGGAGAAATATGCAAACTGGGGTATAAAGATGCAAAGGGAAAAATAATAAGTAGGGTGATGAGGCAGCTAGTGCAGGATTTAAGCAACTGGAGGATGGAGTTTCCACGGCCAGCTCCCATGTGTGCTGAGGGTGCCATCCTGTCATTCACCACTTACATCGTAAGGCACAGTATTCTCCTGTGTTGTGTGAGGATTAATGAGAATGAACAAAATGCATTATGCAAACTGCAAGCCCTTCAGACCCACTAATCACAGCACCGCTGCCTGCTGGACGCTTAATCAGAGTTCCAGCAAGGACAGCAAGAAGCAAGCAGGTGGGACGCAGACAGCAGCTCAATTCGTGAGTGAGATCAGTCTGTCATTTCTTGTACAGCTGTTTTGATCAGATTTGGGAAACAGGAATCTACTAATTTACAAATCTAATTGTGTGCTAATTTGCAGGACGTACTTCGGAGAATTCCATCTATCTTCTATTTAAAAGAGTTTAGGCGTTCTAAACTAATTCTGCACAGCTTCATTTTGGATGTGTTCTCAAACTTCACATTCCCTTCTTCCCCATAGTCAGCCAGAGGTCATCACAAACCCCTTTCTTTTGCGCTCACACTTCCTTACAGAAAGAGATTACACTCTCTGTTCTCCCTTTCCTCCCAGTAAAGATGGCTAGCATTTCTGCCTCCACTTTGGTTGCTGCTCAGTCTGACTTCTTCAACCAGAGCTCCACAACCTACTTTCTCCTACAATGTTTGGAATCTCTGTCTTTCCAAGGACATCTTAGCTTGCACCTTTATGCAGACTTACAGCTTCTGTCTTAACACAACCTTGCTGGAGTCTGAGGTCCTCACAGGCCTACTCGGTATTTCTCAGCTATGTCACACAGGACCTTAAGTCTACTCATACCCAGACCCATCTTCAGAAATCCAGATCTCAAAGTCAAGAATATTTAGGAAATACCATTGTCTCTTAACTGCAGTACTTGCCAGGACCGTTAGTACTGCATTCTGTTTCTCCAGAAAGGGACATTAAACTCAGCATCTCCCAAACTGCTCAAACTTAGAACTCCATTTTCTAGACCATCTTAGTGGACTACTGCCCCATGTCCATGAGGGCTGGTCTGTACCCAGCATTCCCAATTTCTGTTGGTCTGTGACAGAGATGGTTAACTGTTCACTCAAATCCTTTATCTCTTCTTCTTGAATATAGAGGTAACTTCCATATCTCAACTTCCTTGCAGCAAGAGGTGACGATGTAACCTAGTCCTTTCTAGCAAAAGATAAACAGACAAAAGGTTTGCCTCATCCACTCCTAACCCACGCAAGCCTCCACAATCTTTCCCGTGCCCTTTTCCTCTTTCTGGACCAGAAGAGCAACACTCAGGAGACCTTGGAAGAGATGTCAGAGTCACCATCAGCCAAGGTCCCTGAATGCCTACTTGGAGGCATTCATGAGCTGATGAGCTACATACCTGTCTGGGGCCATTTCATCAGCAGAAGATAAGTCTCTAGAATAACAACATATATCACATACAGCTGAAAATGCTGAAGATTCTGTACTACTTAGCCTCACTCTACACTGTTTTCTTTTTCACTTCCAGTAACTTAGCCCCTGCTCTCCACCTTGCTGCTATGGCCCATGAGCATTGTCAATGCCTTTTTAGCTCAATCTTGAGTCCTTGTCCCAGTCCTTACCCTTCTTCACTTCTGCTTGCTGGGTATTATGTTCTTTCTGCTGCTCTACCTCCATCCTTTCCCCCAACTTTCAAAGTGCTTGCGCCTGCTGTCTCTGGTTCTTCCTGCTTTGCTCTCTAACATAGTTTCATTCCTGATCTCTTGGCTTCTATTATCTCATCCACACAGTCTTTCAGGGCCCCAGGCTGACGGCAACTCATCAATTCTACACCTGTGCTCCAGACCCTTATTCCCAAGTTGCTACAGGATTTCTTCACTTAGAATCCCAGGCCATGGAAAGGAAGTGGCCATAAAGATAGTCCACTGACAAAATAGTTTCTGCCGGGTATTGAGGGGGTGGGGGGGAGAGAGAGGGGGGCGGAGTGGGTGGTAAGGGAGGGGGTGGGGGCAGGGGGGAGAAATGACCCAAGCGTTGTATGCACATATGAATAATAAAACAATTAAAAAAAAAGATAGTCCACTGACATTCCCCTGAAACTCCCTCATATCCTTCATGTTGCCTCCCCAGACAGGACTCCTCTAATTGCCCTATATATGGTAGTACCCTATCCCACTGCTTTTTACCCACTTGGCTAGCTTCAAACTGTAATCCTCCTGATCTCTGCCTCCTGAGTTGGGCTAGATTTCCCAGTCTTACCCTCTTGCAGCTAGATGTGTCTATGCAAGTCATTTAGGCCCAATGACATAGAAGCCAAAGTCCTATCTGTGACTTCTGAGTGTCCTCTTAAACAGAAGGGTTTACCTTTCCCCTCCCCACAGTGGTGAGCCACCTAGGAGCAGGTGGACAAGTGCAATACTTGGGGGAAGGTGGAACAAGAAGAGAGAAGGAGCTCGGGTCACTGATACCCTGGAGCCACCTTAGCACCCCTGAAATGCTCCCATCCTGGTAGTTATGCAAAAGAAAATTAATTTTCTCTGTTTTAAAGAATTCTCACTCTAATTATGTTAGAGAGATCAACCCAATATATCTTAACTTATACAATATTTAAGATCACTGCTTAATAATGCAATAAATAATTACAATTAATTACTCTGTGTTAAGAAACTACTTGGAACCTGCCTGAAACAGGGTTTAAGCATTCACATAATCAGGACTGGGGGATCTCGTTGCTTCCATTTTTTCAATGGAAGTCTTGGACGATAGAGAGAAATTTGGCTTCTAGAAGGTTTCATAACTTTCTAAAAACCCTACATCTACTAGATTAAGTTTGTGCAGCACCAAAACCCTCAGGATGAAAGGGATGTCTGAACATAGCTTATCATCACAGAAATGAAAAAGTGTGGCTTAGAAAACAGATAATAACTCCATTCTCCAAGCTTCTCTGTGATGGATTCCTAAAATGGAAAACCCTCCAAAAGAAATATGGCCCATCTCTACCTCGTGACAGGATGGAATAGATTATCAGTAGGAGATGGCTTTCTGTCCCATTTTTCCTCTTTGAAGAAAGAGTTCCCATTTAATAACACATGCCTTGTCAAGGGAAAATGACTGGTGTGACTTACAGTTTATTAAAGCACTTTCACACCAATTAGTTCTTCTATTTCATCCTCCTTATAACATAGATGTGAACAGACCCACTGCCATTTGCCTATTTCAGTCCAGGAATCTGAATGACTTTCAGGAGGCCAGGAGGCCTCAGGGTAAGAGCCAGGTGACACTGGGTGTCCCAGTTCCAGGCCACCTTCCTCTGCATGTACCCACTTCCTCACAATCATCCAAAATCAATGACCAGTCACTGACCATTTGTTCTACTGAGGGTCTAAGTTAGGCACATGAATGGACAACAGATGGAAAGGACAAAGGTCTTGACCTATAGGAGCTGTTTTTGTTTTTGTTTTGCAGCACTAAGGTTTGAACTCAGGGCTTCATGCTTGCTAGGCAGGTGTTCTTACCACTTGAGTCACTCTGCCAGCCTATGGGAGCTTTTAAGCTTGGTGGGTACTATTGTTTGGGTCTGGATTTGGGTCTGGAATGTCCCCAAAGGCCCATGTGTTAAAAGTTTGCTCCCCAGATTGGCACTGTTGATAGAAATTTTAAGAGGTGGGGTCTAGTGGAAGGCGGTCAGGTTATCAGGGGCATGCTCTACTAGGGACTGTGGGACAGGAGTCAATTCCTTTCACTTTTTTCCTGGTCATGAGGTGAGCGGCTGTGCTCCACCTCATGCTTCTCCATGAGGTGCTTCTATAGACCCAAAAGCAACAGCGCTTACAGATCATAAACCGAAACTTCTAAAACAGTGATCAAAATAAACCTTTGCTCTTTATGATTTGCTTACTTCAGGTACTTGTTAAAAGTTACAGAAAGGTGACTAGCACAGTGAGGAAACACAGCAGGAGTCGGGGGAGGGGAAGGAGAAAGGAGATGTCAAACAGAGAAGGGGAGGAGGAGGACAGGAAGATGTCAGTCAAAGAGGAAGAAGGGGAAGAGAAGAAGGGAAAGAAGGTATTGCAGCTGCTGCAAGCTCCACCCTCCCACGGGGACTCATGGGTGCTAAAACTGAAGCTGCAGGCCCTAATGCTAACACACACATTTGAACACAACATACAATGACAGCAGGGAGTAAGACTGAATGCATGAGTCAACACCCAAGTTCAAGCTTTCCAGGCCTAGATTTTGGTAAATCAGTAAATGTGATAAATATTAACACTTAATTAATCACTTGGTAAATGAGTATTTTGAGAATCAACTAGTTACTTAGTGATAGAGCCCTTCAGACTCTTCACATGACATTCTGCTTCCTCTTGAAACAAATGAAAAAGGCAAAATAAAATAACCAAATAGGAAACTGAAGAGGGCTTCAAGCAAGCTGAGGAAGACTGACTTGCTTCCCATAAAACAGGAAGAAGAATGGAAACAGCTGTAGAAGGACCTATATGGGGTTTAACAAGTCAAGGAATGCTTGTGAGAAAGGATGGAGGAATTTCCTCAAATGACTACAAATATACACATGCAAATAGAAATGCATGCAAGAATATTTCATTGACAAGAACTCCTTGTAAAATGTTTTAAGGGACTTTAAAACATTCAAAGAGCTATGTACCTATCACACACACACACACTGTAATATTATTCAGCCATAAAAAATGAAAGAAATTTTGGCATATGCTACAGTATTCGTGAACCTTGAGGACCTTACTCTAAGTTCAATAAGCCAGTCACGAAAGAACAAATATTGCATGCTTCTGCTTGCATAAGCTACCTGCAGTAGGCAAGTTCACAGAGGAAGAAAACAGAGGTTAGAAGGTGTTTGAAGGGAGGGAGAAATGGGGCGTTATTTTCTAATGAGTACTGAGTCGCTGGCATGACTTTAAAAAATGGGGAAATGAATAGTGGTGATAGTGTTCTGTTAGTCAGCTTCTCAGTACTATAATGAAATACCAGAGATAATTAACCTATAAAGAGAAAAAAAAAGGCTATTTTGGCTCACTGTTACAGAGGGTCCAGTTCGCTATTAGGTGAACCCATTGTTTGGGGCCTCCGGGTGGGCATGCAGAAGGCAGTAGGTGGGGAGCAACACGTGTGTCATGGCCAGGAAGCAAAAGAAGAGGACCAGATGGAGCCCCACAGTCCCCCTCTGGGGTATACCTCCAATGACCACGGACCTCCCGTTAGGCCCGACTTCCCACCAGCACACCTTGGGAATCAAGCCTTGGACACTTGGACGTTTGCAGAGGGCGTTCAACATGGGAACTGAAGCAGGCACACCCTTGTTAATGCAACTAGACTGCTGATGACACCGAAGTGAACACTCGCAACGATGATGGTACACTTTATGCAGTGTGTATCTTACCGCAATGATAAAAAAGAGCGAGCGAGCTAGCATCAGAGCGAGGCAATGTAACAACCACTGGGCTCTACGTCCGGACTCTGCAGATGGAGGAAGAAGCCATGATAAAGGAATCCAGCTGGAGCCGGATTCCCTCCTGGGACCCCAGGTGTCCCTGCTGGCACCCGCACGTTAACCCCCTGGGAACACGATCTGGACTTCTGGACACCGCGTCCTCTCCTGGACTGCGTCCCATCGCGGGCCACCCCAAAGCTGAGGACAGCTGCGACCTCGGGACACCCAGGACGGGGTGCGGTTATAGAGACCACGGGAAAACAGAAGCAGGACGCCGAGTTAGCGCGTGGACACCCGGCACATAGTGCGGGAGGAAGTACAGGCTGGACATCTGAAACGCGCGTGGAACTGGGCCCTGTTTGGGATTTGCAACCCTAACCCTGCCCACTCAATGGGATTGCACAAGCTGCGGGGGTAGGTCTACAATTTTAAGATTAAGTTGGGGGAATGTGTCACCTTTAAAACTCCGATTTCCAAACTCTCTTTTAAAATGTGTTCTCGTCCCCTCCTGACACCCGGACAGCGGCCTTGGCGCGCGGCCCAGTGCGGGAACACCTGCGCAGGCGCAGCGCGGGCCGTAGAACTGGGAGGTTACCACCCAGAATCAGCGCGGGAGTGCCCTGCGCAGGCGCAGTGCGGCCCTCGGGGGACCTGAGTGGTCGGTGGGGAATCGGCGCGGGAAGACTCTGCGCAGGCGCAGAGTGGCCTCCTGTAAGTTGGGAGTGGGGGGCTGGGTAGTCGCGTGTGGGATGGCGGCTGGGAGTCCCGCGCAGGCGCAGAGCGGCCCGCGAGCTGGGTAAAGACTGCGCAGGCGCAGAGCGGCCCGAGGCTGACGGGGGGAGTGGTAGTTGGGTGTGGGATCGCGGCGGGAAGGCTCGCGCAGGCGCAGAGCGGCCCGAGTTGGGGGATTCGGGAGGGGGTTGGGTAATTGGGTGTGGGAATCGCCGCCGGAAGACTTCGCTGGTGGTGGGAGGCTGGCCGGGGTGGGTAATCGCGTGTGGGAATCGGTGCGGGAAAACCCGCGCAGGCGCAGAGCTGCCCGGGGAGGAGGGGCTGGGAGTCGGGTATGGGGTAGGCGCTTGAAGACCCGCGCAGGCGCAGAGCGGGCGCGTGGACCCGGACGGCCTGTGGCGCCCAGGGCGAGCACCTGTTACCCCGGTGCCGCCGCCTGTGCCCTCCCTCCCCTCGCAGAGGCGCCCTCGGCCCTCTCCGTGGTCTATTTTTGTACCGCGCGACGGCGCTGGCCATACTGGGCAGCAGGGTCAGGCCCGCCCGCTGCGCCCTCCCGGCCCGCTGCGTCCCGCAGGTCGCGCGGCGCCGTCGAGGGCAGCGGCTGCGGAGCGAGCGGGCCGGGAGGCAGCTGCGTAAGTGGGGCCGAGGGAGGGGACGCGGTCGCCTCGCTGTCGCAGGACTAGTGTCGTGGGCTTTGCGGGGTCGCCCTCTGCTTGCCCGGCCGCCTTGGTTTTGCCGCGCCGCAGGTGGGGACACTGCTGTCCTTGGGGTCCCCGTAATCTCCGGGAACCTCGAATGGCGCCTGGCACGTACCGAGGTTCCTTTAAATTCAGACAACGTCGAATGTATCCCCGGGCAACTTTGTCAAGTTTGAAGCCGGGGAAGTAATTGCCCGCATCTCCCCCGGGACTTCAGAGGAGCCAGGGAGCCCCGCCGGGAGGAAGGAAAGGGAAAAGGACACTTGTCTGCCTCGCCCGCAGGCGGGCGGGCGGGGTGCATTGTTCCTGTTGAACAGGTCTTTCCATACCGGTGTCGAGGACATTTGGGGCGCTGCTTGTGTTCTAAGCCATCTCCTACTCCGTCTGCCAGTGTAGGATTTGGGCAAGATGACCAGCTCACAAGCCCTGCTTGAAACAAGGGTCACAACTCAGGTGGCTGTAAATAGTCCGAATGGGCAGGTGTGACAATGCTACGTGACTGACTCGGAGGTCTCAGTAGAGGTGAGGAGGGCCATCTCAGGATGGGCCACCTGAGAGGCTGCAGCTGGCCTTTCAGTCCACACACGCACACTGTTGTCACGTGGGAACTAAGGGCCCATTGTTGCCATAGCTTACTTTTTTTTCCCCAATGGATGCTGGAATGTTTCAACTAAGCATGTTGACAAGTCATTTACCCTCCCACCCACCCAAAAACAGAAAAAGAAAAATCAGCCAGTTTGTGATCTCTGGGATAAGAAAGCCACTGCAAGCTTCCATTGCTCCTCAAGAATGGGGGCCCGGTGTCAAGAGACTATGTCCGGGAGGTAATTTTGAGGGTAGGAATGAGATGGACATCTCATAATGCATGGAGCTACAGGCAAGCGAATCTAGTTGTTAATTCTGAATGACTTACTAGACTTGAACAAGAGAACAGCAACTTGAAGTATTAGACTTCTGTATGTAGCAGAAAAATCTTCACGATAGTGGTTAATTGACATGGAAATTTAGTGGGGTTTTGACATACAAATAAGGGTGAAAAAAGGTCATGAACTTTAAAGCATTCATCTGATTGAACAAACTATTTTGGGCAACACATGTGCCAGGTGTCATCACAGACATGGTACCAATAGGAAGTGATTAGGACATAAGCCCCTCACCCTCAGTGTGAGCCTCCAAGGGAAGGGAAGCACATAGATGAGAAGTGGCAATAACAGTGCAACAACCATGGTATACAAGGTCCAGCCAGGCACAGAGGCAAAAGGCAGCTTCGCTGACAAAGTGGTATCAGAGCTGAATTTTGAGGAACCAGTTATGTTTTTTTCTGGTTGGACACACGATATTCCCTACAAAGAACAGTGTGTATTCATTAGAATTGCTGGCAGTTCAGTACCACTAAAAGATTGGGAAATACAAGAAGAAACTTGGGAGATGAAGCAGCAAAGGGTGGGAGGTGCCAGGTTGTCTGGAGGCTTGTAAGGCCTGGTGAAAATAGTCCCATGATAATTTTGTAATGAGGCGTAATAATTTTATTCACAGTAGTCACCAATTTGAGAAGAAAGGGGGAGTTGCTTTAAATGTGGAAACTGGGACATTATTCCCTGATATACTACTGACATTCTTTGCTTTGCTAACCAAAATCTATTGAAAGGAGCTCTAAGCAAGCTGTGGCTTTAAGAGTCCTGTCCAAGTCACTTCTGTGTTTATGTTGGTGAAAAACAAGGCTTTGATGTTGATGACCTACTCGATCACAATTGTAATCTACTCAGTGTAGTGAACATTTCTTGTGGGAAAAATAATACCAAATCAGGAGTCCAGTAAATTTTCCTATCATACAGATCAATGCAGGGAAATGAAGAAAGAAGAAGGCTATAGCCAGGGCTCCAATGCAGTTCTCACTCAGACTGGATAGGAGGTTTCATTGTTTTGTGTCTTCCATTCACTTCACTCATAAATCGGGCTCCTGTAGCATATTTTGACATGTTGAAAAGAAAATTCATGCTATATCTATGTATTACTGGTAGTGGATTGTTGATCCTGAGTTTGTGTCCTGGTGCAGTCGATGGTTGAAGACTCCGGACCAGGAGTTAAGAGTAAAGCAGGCACAAGCAAAGCTCCCAGGAGCTTAGGAAAGGTAAACCCATAGTTAGCTGAAGTCTAGGAGTGGTACAGGGCACTACCTGGCTTGGATCCAACTATTCTACCTTGAAACTACATTTGCGATTGGTTGGCACCGAGCCAGCTCCTCCCTGAACTCAGCCACCTGTCTGTCCCTTTCCTTATCGTACCAAGCATTCCAAGATCTAGTCAGTTTGTCTTGGCCTTTGGGCCCACTACTCACACTGTACAGCTGCATTTTGGTATTTTGGTAAGGAGTCTGTTGTTCTTCTGAGAAGCCTGTTGTTTGCCATGCCTCTTTAGATGTCTGGTTTTAAAGTGCCTCTAAAATAGAATCACTTCTGACATTGTTCCCTTCCATTATCTCTGTCCTTATGACAGTATATCGATGATGCACAGACAGGGTTTACAATATGGGTTAGGTTTTCTAAAGCCGTAAGTGACAGATGTTAATATAGTCCTATTTTAAACTTTATTTTGTACAATATTTAAGATATCCAAGAAGATATAAAGAATAATCAAGTGTGTGTTGGGTACCCACCACACAGCTAGGGAAATCAAAACATTTGCACAGTTGAAACTCACTGTCATCGTCCTCCACCTGTCTCCCCCTTCTTCTAAAGCTTCTGAAACACTCTCCTGAATTTGTTGTTATTTTAATAATTACCCTTCTTTTCTTTATATTCTACTACAGTGGTATGGGTCCTTAAAGAATATATAATTTGTTAAATTTTGACAGAATTCCAAGCTTGTAGAAAAGTTCCAAGAGTAGTACAAAGACCCCCAAAATACCCTTTATCGGATTCACTAACTTTCTGTATTGACCTTGTCAGAATATATGTTTTTGATCTATTAGAATATATAGTATATATTCATATAATTATTCGTATAACTCATAATATATCACAGACTGTCATACTGTCCAGCACAACTTAACAGTAGTGGTGTGCATCATTCTTCTACAGTCTTTCAATGTTTGTGGACATAGATTAGTTATTCATTTTTCTGCTGTACGATATTCTTTTGCATGAATATAGTCCAGTCTGTCCTCCTACTAGATACTGAGTTTATCTTTAAATTTTTGTTGTTTCAAACAGTGCTGCTGAGAATTTAAACTAGTTCAACTTCAGCAAAGCATGGAGAATTTTCTTAGCAATGAAAGCATGAGCATGTATTTGCCATTATTCAGAACAGGTAGCAACTGCAAAGATAATGGAAAGATGATAGCATCAAGCATTGTGAAAGACAAACATTTGTAGTTTAAGGAAATTGATGTTCTTGCCTCACATTAAATTTATGGCAGTCCATTTCTCAAAACTAAATATGATGGGCTTGGATGTAAGTGCACTGTGGATTTGCAAAATAATTAGGCTTTCTTCTCATGATTTATATTTATCTTTGCTACTCATTTTCTCCATTATTGTGGGTACCATTGTTATGAGTGCCCAGTTCAGTCTTCCACAGATTGGAGCAGAGAATAACTCCCCGTTGGTACCATTGAGAACATTTGTACAATGTCGTTTTGCTGATGAAAGGAGAATGCACTCCCCTTTATGAGAAAATAAAATTGCTGTCAGCGCTCTTCATTTATGGGCTGTGTCTATATCCACAAGTTATTTGTGTATGTACCAAATAGCTTTATTGTCTGAAAAATTATGTACGGGTACAGCCTACATCAGCTTTCCCAGGTAAGTTTTACCAAGCAAATTCCATTTTGTACATATGGTTAACCCTTATTCAACTCTCTCAACTCTTATATAATTCTCCAAAAAATCCCAGGTGATAAAACATGGCCTTAAAAAGGCTGAAAAACATGTTCATCTTCCTGGATAGTAGAGGAAGGATTCAAACACAGGCCTCAGTAAGGGAAGCCCAAGTTCATGTCCCTGACCTTTGAGTTCCAGTGTGCTGCATCCCTGTAGCAGTAAAATCCATTTAATTAGTACTTAAATGCTAAGGACTAAATAACTACTTTACTTGTATTCTTTATCCTCACTGTGCTAATGGAGAGGCCAACACTTAGAAAGGTAAAATTTTCAGGTTACATCAAGTAAGGAGCTAACCTGGGATGCGACATAGGGGTTCCTCACTCTGGCTTCAAAGCCCAGCCACCAGCCCTATCTCCTGTGCGCCTTGTACATCTGGGAAATGATGCTAGGAATGTCCTTGGAGTGTGATAACTGATTTAACATTTTTTAGGCTTTCTACCAGTAAACTCATTTTATCTGTAAATACATACCAATTAAAGTAGCTTTCAGGAGCAGTAGAAGGCAATTAGAAGGAAGAGATACTTAACAAATATATATATGCCCATTAAAAAAGTCATAGGAAATGTTTCTTTCGAATGTTTGAAACATTTTTAAAAGAAATTCTGGTCTTTGTTGTTTGCTAAAGCCCGTTGTTTGAGAGAAAGGAACTGCATTTAAGTACAATATTTACTCAAGAAATTGATTTATATCTGGGAACAACTAGATGATCTTTTTAAAGCAGGACCACTCCCTTCTCAAAACACTTCAGCTGTGTTCAAAAGGCAACATGGAGATTCCTTAGTCACCCAGACAGGATATTCTCATCCCCGCAATCTAGACAGCAGGTTTATTTATAACATTCAGCAGTGGTCGGCATCCTGCCACTTGTTTTTGTATAGCCTATGTGCTCAGAATGTGTTTCATAATTTAAGTGACTTTTAAAATCAAAAGCAGACTAATATGATATATAAAAACAAGACAATATACGAAATTCACATTTCTGTACCCCCCAAAAAAAGTTTTAGAACACAGCCGTGCTCATTTGCTTGGTCTGAGGCTGCTTTTGTGCTAGAAGAGCAAGGTTGAGTAGTGACAGAGACCATATGGCCTGCAAAGCCTAAATACTTACTTTCTGGCCCGAGTTTGCTGACCCTGGCACTGGAGAGAGTGGGTAAGAGTACAGACTTTGGGACCAGATCAAATTGGGTTCATGATTCAGTTTCTTCCCCTATGAAGTGCTTTGGCCTTTTCATGAGAGCCAGCAAACAGAGAAGACTGACTTAAGTGATTGTTGCTTTTTATCAAGGACAAATGAGAGTAGGAAGAGGTTTCTATGGTTCTCTTAATAGACAGTATAATAATAGAAAATATAAGAACATAACAAAGCCATATTATATATCATTACAATTGCCTTAGGCAACCTTTCCTCAGTATTTCCACATATATCACTTATACAAGTAAAGATTCTTTTGTATGTGTGGTACTTTAATTTGAACTCAGGGCCTTGCACTTGTTAGGCGGGTGCTGTATAACTTGAGCCATACCTTGAGCCTACAGGAAAGGATTCATGATTACAGATACCAGCAATCTTAATTCAAACCAACTTAAATTGTCTCAAAACTGAAAAATGTAGATACAAGGTCTGATTCAAATTCCATTGCTCTGATTACTCTGCAATTCTTCCCTGGTAGGCTAATTAGGGATTTGGCCACAGTAGTGTCTGGTCTTCCATCTGTACCACACATGGACACTCCAGTCATTGAGCCAGAGACCAGAGCTTCACTCCATCAGGCATACCTTAGTTATCATGCTGGTCACTGTAGCGAGGAGAATGGGAGCCAGTCCCCTCCCAGCCACAGGTTAGATGAGAGGAAACCCTACGTCATCCGCGGTAAAGTTGTTTATAAGATTACCTATAATATGTTGATAAAACAAGCATGTGATTCACTAATTATTTCAGTTTAACTTCTTGAAGCTAACTCTGCCTGTGTTTTTATTAAAATAGACCTTGTGCCAAAAAGTCCATCAAAGGCAGGTTGGTTCCTACCTTCAAGGTATGAAATCACTGGATTGTGGTCATAACATTTGGGTCCCCATCATCTCGGTTCTCTCCTAACACCCCCAAGATCAGCCTCTGGGAGCTGAGTCTCCATTGCCCTCTGTGTGTTAGATCTAGTGGATCCCACCAAGGAGCTGCGCTTGGCCTTCTAGCATTTGAAGGATTCTTACATTCAATACAGACGGAATTGGAGACATTTTAAACTATTTCCTTATAAGGCAGCGTTTATATTCTGGGATGGGGATATGGCTTAGTGGTAGAGAGCTTGCCTTAGCGCGTTTGGTTCCAAGAACTGGGGGAAAAAAGGGTTTATATTCTTTACAGCTGCAAGTAACAACTGACATGTATAAAGTAGAGTGATGCAATTCTATGTAAAGACGCCCATATAATATGATTTGGGCGAGTCACAGTGTTAGAAGAAATACAACGGCCTCTTAATTACCGTAGTCAATTCTCTTCAGAAAAAATGTAAAAGACGTTTAGAAAATTTCTGCCCTTTATAGCTGACAGATTTTGAGTTCGTGTTATTGACACGATCATCTCTCCTTCTTTCTCAACTCCCTGTACCAAGTCTGCCTCCATCAACGTTCACTCTCACTGCGTGCTGCCTTATAGGCAGGTGAGAACCAGAAAAGGAAGCAGAGCCTGGGGACCCGTTCCTCACAGGACGGTTTCTGACTCTGGGAATGTCCTTTAAATCAAAGCAGCTAATTAACTTCTTGAAACCCCCTGTTTCCATTACCCGGGGGAGGGCAGAAATGACTCCACTAGCTTCAGGAGCCTTAATTAGACTAGTGTTTTTAAAGCAAGAAGTGATTCAGGCTCTGCCACCATGAAAGGGAACAAAGAAAAGCTAGGCGAGGAGGGAGGCTGAGAAACCGGAAGACTTCTGTGCATCCCCTAGTGCAAGGTGATTAGGTAATTGTAAGTTTCAGAGCAGCAGACATTTGCTTGTGCTTTCCAAGGCTGAGGAGAAATAAAATTTCTGTTATCCGCTGGTTTGAATTGTTTGTCCCACAGTGCAGCTTAAGCAGAATCTTAGTGGACTTTTTTTTTAGTCAACCCTCTTCTAGGGTATATCCTTAAATGGCCTTAGTCATGGTTTTGTGGATTGGTTGTTATGGGTGTGTTTTGGAAGGGACGCCCATACCGTTTAGGGTGTCACTGCATCTCCTAAGAGAGAATATTAACAGATGCCCCTGTGCCCTCTGGCTGCTGGGCAGCCATATTTAATAACTGGAAATAGAATTGCAAAATGGATTCAGCTTATCACTTTCTTTGTTCATGTTGAGAGAGAAGACTTGCCAGTCCTAGAAAACTCTCCAGTGCTAGATGGCAAAGTGTGAGGGCACCTTCCACTGCAGAGCAGATTAGGAATTGTGGGGCTGGAGGCGTGGCTTGGGCAGTAGAGCACCTGCCTAGCGAGTGCAAGGCCCTGAGTTCACACCCAGGACCCCACCCAGAAAAGGAAAGCACTGTGATAGCAGTTAATAATGCGTGATTTACATATCAAAGATATTTTCAGATTTAAAAAGTGGTTGTCTTAAACTGCTCTGCTTGGAATGAATATTCATTAGTAAATACTTCATAGCACTAATGCTGCATATTTGAATTGTAGAGCACTTTTTCTTAGGTGAAACTGCTTCTTTTCTTACCCTCAGGGATGATCCATGGCATCTCTGTTTATTTGTGAGTAACCAGAAATGCAAACAGCCCCTCAGGGGATGAAGCTAAACGTAAAGAAGTTTCTAAGAAGCTTTGGAGTGCGTCATGGATTGTAAGACTGAGGGAAAGGAAAAGTACCAACATAGCTTGAATTTGCTCAGTAAGATCAAGAACATGAAAGAATTAGCGGAAATGATTGATGTAGTACTCATAGCAGAAGGGGAGAAATTTCCCTGCCACAGGCTGGTCCTGGCTGCATTCAGTCCCTATTTCAAAGCCATGTTCACCTGTGGACTACTTGAGTGCACGCAGAGGGAAGTCACACTGCACGACATCACGGCAGAAAGCGTGTCGGTGATTCTGCAGTACATGTACAGCGCGGCTCTGGAGATCAACAATGCCAATGTACAGACGGTAGCCATGGCTGCCTACTTTATGCAGATGGAAGGAGTCTTTGGCATGTGTCAGAAGTACATGATGGGCCACATGGATGCTTCCAACTGCGTCGGGATCTATTATTTTGCAAGGCAGATTGGAGCCGAAGACTTGTCTGATCAGTCGAGGAAGTACTTACATCAGCACTTTGCCGAGGTGAGCTTACACGAAGAAATACTAGACATTGAGCTGCACCAATTCCTGACGCTCATTGAGTCAGACGATCTGAACGTGTCCAGGGAGGAGAACATTCTGGACTTGGTTCTGCGATGGGTGAATCATAACCAAGAGCTGCGTGCACAGCATCTCGTTGAGCTTCTGAAGCAAGTCAGATTGGAACTTATAAATCCTTCCTTCTTGAGACAGGTCTTGAAAAGGAACACCATGCTTCTGTGCGACGCAGGCTGCATTGACCTCATTCAGAGTGCATTCAAAGCAATCAAGACACCCCAACAGCACCCCCTGAATCTCCGCTACGGCATGGAGACCACCAGCCTTCTGCTGTGCCTTGGCAACAATTCTTCAGGGATCAGGTCACGACACAGGAACTACGGGGATGCCAGCTTTTGTTATGACCCCGTGTCACAGAAGACCTACTTTATCTCATCTCCCAAATATGGGGAGGGCCTAGGAACCGTGTGCACTGGGGTGGTCATGGAGAATAACACTATAATTGTGGCTGGAGAAGCGAGTGCCTCCAGGCTCTCTAGGCAAAATAACAAGAACGTTGAAATCTATAGGTTTGTATCTAGCAGCAATTTTTTTTAAATCTTGCTTTTACATTAGGAATAGTAGAAGACACTGCTAAGAGAGTGGTCAGATTTTAAATGATACATAGTCAAAACGACCCTGTATGTCTTTCATAAAGCCATAAATATCATATAGCATAATGAAGTTACCACATTTGGGGGGGTAAGAGTGGGACTTGAACTCATTCTTAACTGGGCAGGTACAATACCACTTGAGCCATGCCCTCAGCCCTTTTGCTATAGTTTTGGAGTCTTTCTGGATAGGGTCTCACATTTTTGCCCAGGGCCAGCCTTGGACCTTGATCCATCTACCTATACTTGCCTTATAGATGGGATTACAGATGCTTACCACCATGCTCTGCTTATTAGTTAAGGTGGGGTCTTGCTAACATATTTTGCATAAGCAAATGTATTTATGTTATGATTCAGTTGTATTTTAGCCTTAGCTTTTGTTATTTATCCATATGATAGGGCATAGTACAATTGCTTTCTTTTTAAAGACCTTGGTACAACTTCTTAACATTAAGAAAATTTATTAACACAAACTCCTTTGAACTGAGTTTTTTAGTTCATTATTCAGAGAAATAAGGAATTTTTTCCTAGCCAAAAAGTTGTCATTCTGTGTCCTTAATTTGTGTGTCTTTCCTAAACCTCCACATTGAAAAATGCTGGTAGCCTAAGAATGCCTCAATCCTATATTTGTAGCAAGAGGACCCAGCGCACCTGCTCAGAGCGTGCTGTCGGGCCTCACTTGTGAGAGCCGTGCATTTCTCGTCCAGCAAGTGTGAGACACACACATAAATGCTAGACGGCAGTGCTCCCTTCAGTGTCCTCCCCTCCTGTGCCCTCTTGTCAGGGGTGAGTCAGACTTGTCAGTCACAGAGTGATTCTTTATGACAGTGAAAATGGGGCAAAGAAACCATGAGGAGGTCACTGTTTTTCTGTCACCTCTTGGCATTACACTGTTTGTTACAAGCCACAGCCCTGTCCCTTTACCACGCAGATACTATGAGGGGGGAAAGGAATGCAGAGCCCTGGATGAGTGATCTGGACACAGCATGTCACTGAGCTGCGAGTGGCCTTCCCCAGAGGTGTCAGATCATCACGTCCTTGCAGGGGAGGAAGCCTCATCACTCCTGGTGTGGGTCTTGAGGTCTGAGCACTTGCTTCGTACCTGCCATGGGTAAGGGGCCCTTCTTTCCACCTTGGGGCTCTTGACCTCATGCCTCGGGTTCTTTAGAGAGCATTTTCTTCCTCATCAAGACCACCTACAGCTCTCAGGACTTATCCTTAGTAAACATCCAGCCCTGCCCAAGTGCCACGCTTCTCTTACCCTCATCTCTCCTCTTGACTTTTTCAAAAGCCCTCCTCCCTTTCTTGTGGCATATGTCTAACTACATACTATACTATTTCCTTTCTTGAATTCAGCCAGATTCCCACCACCAACCAGAAACTCCACATTGGCCATACTAGGGTACAGCTACTTCTTCCTTTCCTCCAATAATGAAATTATCAGAAGCATGGCTTGGGTTTAAGGGAGACTTCCAGCAGATGTGGGAATAGTTCGATCTCCTGGTGCCACTGACGGTCACTGAAGTGCCCATTGTGCAGTGTTGAGAAGGCATCCCCTTGGGACACCCTGCAGCATCATCTGTTTTCTATGCCTTGGCTCTTTGTTCAGATGCTCTTCATTCTGCCTATACTTATAGTTCACAGACGCCCTACCTGTGAATTTCTTCCTAACCTAAAGGAGAAAGTAGACTGGTATCTGAGGTCATTTCTTTCCGAAAAGATAGACTTTTCTATCTTCTCATCTGCCCACAAACAGGTAAAGTGTAAGTGGTCACATTTAAACTACCAACCTATTAACACTGCTTCCTTTGCCACTCTTGTCTTTTTTATGTCATCTACTTTTTGGAGGGTTTTTTTGGCAGTACTGAAGATTGGACTCAGGCACGCACTCTATTACTTGAGTCATGCCCTCCATCCCTTTGCTTTTTAGTTTGTTTTTGAGATAGGGTCTTGTACTTTTTGTCTGGGTAGGCCTCAGACCATGATTCTCTTATGTCTGCCTCCAGCATAGCTGGTATGATAGGTGTGAACTTTTTGTAGTGCTGGGGATTGAACTTTTTGTAGTGCATGCTAAGCAGATGATCTACTGCTGAGCTATGTTCCCAGCCCTTGGTTTTGAGACAGAGTCTCACTATGTAGCCCAGGCTGGCCTTGATCTCAATCTTCCTGCCTCTACCTCCTAAATGCTGGGATTACAGGTATGTCCCACCATGGCCAGCTATAGCCATTTTTCTTAAGTTTTATTTGTGAATTTTCTCTCCCTATTGTTGGTTCTAAATGTTGAAACAAAAATCATATTAGCAAGTCACCCAGAAACCTTGTATTTCCCAATTTTCGTGGAATATGTTTCATTCCTAGCCTGTTTTCTTAAAACTGTGCCTTAGAAAACCAAAACCCATTTATCAGTTCTGTTTATATATTCATTCAGTTATCTCTTGTCAGAAGCCCCACACATAGACATCTAATCCTCCTTTCTTTTCTAAAAATCCATTCAATTGAAAATACTACCTGTGATCCTACAGACTTTGCCTTCCTGCCTAGAATTTCATGGAAGACAGCATGATAAGGTTTGATAAGGCAAGCCAGACATGCCTTCTAGGGAAGGACCATAACTTCCAACTTCCCATCAACTTCCCTGAAGTCGTGTTCTCTCGGGGTCACGTGAGGGCTGACCCAGAGCAGTTACTCGCATTTTATGCTTCTGTCACATTACTTAAAAATTGTACTCTGTACAAAACACACTTCGTATTCTGTTCTTGTTTCTAGGCAACATCTTTTTTCTTTTTTTCCATGTTGTTCTGAATTTTGTGTTCTTGTTTTAATTCCAGGTAAACTTTCTAGATTTGGGAGCACATTTAATTTCACATATTTTAGACTGCATCTCAAATCATGATTGGAAAAAAATAGACTTACCAGCCAAGCATGGGGGCAGACCATTGTAATCCCAGCACTTGGGAAGGGAGGTAGGAGGATCACAAGGTCCAGGCCAGCCTAGACTACACAGTGAGTTCAAGGCCAGCCTAGACTACATAGAAAAACCCTGTCTCAAACAAAATAAAATCAAAAACTTAGAGTTATCTTTATCATGAGGCAAGATACAGAATAGCCATAAACATGTAAGGTCAGGACTGTGTGGTGCTCACCCCATAATGAGCTACTCTAGAAGGCATTAAGAGACCACATGTCCCAGGGTCCCCATCTGCCAAAACGCTTCTCAAGCCCATGTAACTATTCATGGAAGAAATCACCAAAATTACCATATCTAGATTAAAATAGATTCTAAATGCCCAACAGACATTGCAGATGGGTTTTCATACCGTGCTCTTGACCTAATTTGAAGCCAGTTGAACCGCAACAATCTGTACAATTGTGCATAGCCTTCATATTGCTCTTTTAGAAATCCCAATTTGAGATATTTTCAGACTCTGTCCTAAAACCATGATTTCTTAGTATTAAAAAGATATTTCATTTCCACAGAATAGGGCAGTTTGTATTTTTGTCTCTTCCAGTTTGTGCATGGAAACATAACAAATGACGTGCTGACTTTTCCCAGTTTTCTCTCCCAGAATTAGGAACCACAGGCTAGTGCAGAGTCTCTGCTTTTCCTATGCATTGTTATTACTGAAATTCTTCAAGTAGATGTGGATAATGATTGTAAGCATCTCACGTTTTGTTCTTCAGTCCTTTAAACGCTATCTGTGTTGAATGGTTTTCACTTCCGATTAGAAGAGCAGATCTCACTGTTTTTAGTTGGAAAAAGAACTTCAGCATGTTTCTTGGTGAGTTGTTTTCACATTAACTCTAGTCTTGCTCTGTCACCTTGCAGGTATCATGACAGAGGAAACCGGTTTTGGGAAAAGTTATGCACTACTGAATTTCGGGAGCTCTATGCTCTGGGAAGCATCCACAATGATCTCTACGTTGTTGGAGGGCAGATGAAAAGTAAAAACCAGTACCTTATCACAAACTGTGTGGATAAGTATTCTGTAGAACAGGACAGCTGGAAAAGGGTGTCTCCTCTCCCACTGCAACTGGCTTGTCACGCCGTGGTGACAGTGAAGAATAAACTTTATGTGATCGGAGGCTGGACCCCTCAGGTTAAGAAGCAATTTCTTGTATATTTATGTGACATGGCTGTGCTGAATCTGACTCTGTTGAAAAATGTAGTTGCTGAATACTAAAAGAGAATGACTTGCATTTTGATAAATTGCTTAAATCTCATAAAATATAAATGTAAGGCTTTAAAGTGTTAAAAGAACTTAGGAGGATGGGTTTGAACATGTTATTCACAGATGTGAGTTCGCTCAGTAACTGTGCTGGGTTCTTTATAACCCTCCTGTCAGCAGCCGTGTCGCCCAGGGCAAGTCACTCTGAGGTCTTTCCATGTTCACAAGTCTTACTGTAAGTGGGGATTCAGAACAGTGATTCTGCGAGAGCACGGTCATTCCAGAAAAGAATGTCATGATTAGAAATGCTTTGTGTTTTTTCTGGGCTTCAGCAGATGGAAAAAACAAAAAAACTGTTTATATTGAAACCCTGGAAAAGTGCAGGCCAGCCAGAGTTGAGAGGTCAGCAGAGTGACCAAATGGCCCTCCTCTCCTCTTTTGAGTGTCCTGGGGCCCTTGGCCTTCACAGTCAAAACTCCAGCTTCCCTCTACTCTGGCCATCCTGTCTTTCTAATAAAATAATCTTCCTGGCTCATTAGCCATCCCATGACAGAAAGAGTTTATTTCTGCCTTATTATTATTTATGTCCCCAGATTTGCTTCAGGATGCAGCCCAGACTTTCACATTCATCTCATAAGCTTCACTTTGCCACTGACAGTACATCATACCTGTTTTTAAACTTAACCTTCACACTCAACAGTTGTTATTTGGGCTGCAGAGGAAAAAGTAGTACAGATTTTATCACAGCTAGTAGCTGAAGCCTGACAAATTATTTGTGATTAAGTTTTCCAAAACTATCCACTTATATGCTGAATTTGCATGAATAATCTCTAAGAGCAAGTGAGATTTTTCTGTGCTTTACTAGAAATTAAAAACTTAAATTAGAAGGAAAATTAAAAGAGTAGAGGATGTGTTTTTTATTTGTCATCTCTGAACAGATAGCTGAATGAACCTGTGTTGCATGGCGAAGGCCTTGCTACCTGATCGAGCACCGTGCTGCCCGTTAGAGTGCGGGGTAACGGGTGTGAGGGCACCATGGTGACCGCACTGTTGTGTGCTTCAAGTAGTTACCCAAACTTAGTTGCATGCAACTTTCATAAATACGGTAACCATTCCTTTACCGAAGACTTGGATCAAAGAAAAAAGACATGAATCTTACAGAAATGGAACGTTCCAGACAGTTGTATATAAAAAACATCATTTCACCTGAAGTTATGAGTAGAAGCCACTTAACATCTGTGTGAGAATAAAATCACTCAGTTTTTACTGTCTCTAGTAAATGAGCATATAAAACTAGCTGCAAATAACTCGTATCAGTCCATATATCTTGAAAATTGAGTTCAATCCATTCATAATCAGGTCACGATTATGGGGCAAAAAATTCTCTGATCCCTAGAGCACTAAAATGTTTTTGCAACATCGTTACCTATGGATTAGAAAAATATAAAGAAAAATGCCTTATGAATTATTAAAATTAGCTTCTCACAAATACTATTAAAATCCACAAGTGTAAAGTTAGGTACACTACACTTTAAATACTGTTCAAGAGACCTTGGTTTCATTTTTAAGGCTTTGCGTTTCGCGTCTCCCGTGCCTCGCAGACTGTTCACTGTGATGTGTTCGCCCCATCAGGACGGTGGGTAGGATCCTCTGATGCGGACAGGGTGCTCACGACCCATGTCCTGGGACTTGGTGTGCTTCAAGTCTGAGCCCTGCAGTTAGCCTCTGCTTATCTCCTGGGCTGTCTGCTTTGACTAATTGCGGTCACGCACCCACAAAGACCTCTAAGTGGCGCGTTGTCTTACTTCACACAGACGGATCTTCCTGAGGACGAGCCCGATCGCCTGAGCAACAAGCTGCTGCAGTACGACCCCAGCCAGGACCAGTGGCGGGAGCGCGCGCCCATGCAGCACTCCAAGTACCGCTTCAGCACGGCCGTGGTCAACAGCGAGATCTACGTGCTGGGTAAGAGGCAGCGGCACTGAGCGTGCACGCAGCCCTACCTTTCTCAGTGCTTGCTCCAGAGAGAATGAGTTGCTCTCCCTTCCCTGACATCCCAGTTCAAATAGATACATAACTGGCCAAGAAGTCTCAGTCAAATAAGACTAAATGGAAGTGCACTGGCTTTGAGAGCAAAACCGTTTCTGTGGCATTTCGAGCAGCTTGAGATGTAAACGCAGAACTGAGGCATCCTTACACATCCTGCCTGGCGCCACACTTTGACACGAGGATAGCCTTTGGCCACTTTTCGCCAATGAAACGTGGGGTTTGTCAACCTGCCGTGACTGTGCTATTCGAAAAGGAGGCCAGGAGAGGTAAGACGGCTGCAGATTAGGCTGGCCTCTTCATTTTGCCTGGCCCACCCAAGGTTCACATAATTTTTATCTGAATGCATTCTTTTATAATCTCTTGAAGGCCTGTGGTCTTGAACTAACAGCAGGGATTCAGTTCAGTTCTACTAACGTGGGCAGAAATTGCAGATTCCCGTAGCTCCTGGCCTCCGTCTCTCCTGTTTATCTCCATTTGCTCTTCCGAGTACACTGCATCTCCCCAACGTTGTCCACCACCCGCCTCTCCATCACCATTACCTTCTCTAAGCTTGGGAGAGGCGGGTCAGAAGGCTGCCTGGACACCCAGCATGGTGACCGTGCCAGTTCTCTCACTTCATCCCATCTGCATCGGTGGCTCTCCTGCAAAAACATGGGGAAAATGATAGGTAGCAAAGAAAAGACAAGGAAAAAACGTGAAATGCCAGCTGAAAGCAAGCCAAGCATCTGAATAGAAATGACGTTTTATAAACCAAAGGGAGGTCATTACCTCTTGGCTGTTTGCACAACGTGGAGCAAAATAATTCACGTACTCAATGTATGAATAACTGTTTTATTTAAGAACAAGACATTGTGCAACATAATTTATGACTACCTCAGTTTTGAGACTCACTAATAATTATAATTAAGCTTTTCCTCTGGATAAATATTCCTTACTTTGTTATAACTGTATGGATGTATGAGGCTGACTTACTGAGCGAGCTGTAGCTGGAGGCAACCAGAAGGTGAGAGGAAATTGACGTGCCAATTGAGCCAGAACGAGAGGCCCCCAAATGTGGAGCCACGGTCAGGCCAAGTGTGGTCACTTGTGTGGGGGGAGGCACCTTGAAGACACTCTTGGGAGTTTACAAGTCATAGCAGGGACGAATGTCCACCAAGTGAATGAAATCACGCAGGTTGCAAAGGACAATAAGATTCACGCAGATAAAACAGAAAAAGGGTATGCTTCAGGAAAAGAGGCAGTGGGAGGGAGCAGGAAGAACAGGTGAGGAGAGTGACACAAGCAGGGTTTGGGTGTGAGAATGAAGGTGAGCCAATGAGCCCATGGGACAGAGCCATGAGACAGTAGAATGGGCACAGTGGGAGCCGGATTATAAAGGCCACAGATAAGAATTAAGAGAATGATACTGATGAGTGAGAAGCTGCACAGGTGCACCATGCCAAAAGGGTGTTTTAGGAAGATTGGTGAAGTGAGGCTGTAAAGAACAGATGAAAGGCAAGAAGGAGCTAGACCCGAGATGCGTGGGAAGGCCTTTACAGTAGCTTAGAATCTAGCTTCTAGATACACTAGGGACAAGATCATAGTCACCCTGTAAGCTTTTCACCATGTAGACATTCAGCTTCCCCAATATTCACTGCTTAATCCTCAGATTTTTCTGTAATTTTGAACTGGAGCAAAGTTCAGTTCTTTAGGTTTTTCTAGTAGTCTCAGCTCAGATTTAATGGTTCATTGTGTATAACCAGAATTTGGGCAAATACAGAACCCTAAAACCTTGTCAGTTTAAATGACTCAGAGATACTTTACAGTCATTTGTTAATTGTCTCAGCCAAGCCCTATCTGCTTTGGGGTGACCCCACTGTGTTTGGGGTCACTACCAATTAGCATAACAATAAGACCTACTCCCTACTCCCTGTAATAGATTAATTCCTTCCTACCTCCTCCGTAGACTGCAAGATGTCCCCAAAGAGCAGCTGGCAACACCTCCTTTGCTGAAGTGGGAGGTACCAGCGTAGGTTTGAACGAAAATCTTGGCTCCGCCATTTGCTAACTGTATGTCCTTGGTCCAGTAAAGCTTTATTATTATTATTATTATTATTATTATTATTATTATTATTACTGAAACTGATCTGCTTACCTTAGAGTTATGAAGATGAAGTAAAATGTGTTAAGAGACCTACAGTGTAAGTGTCCAGATGTTCACGGAGCCCTTTGTTATAGCTGTTACAGTTTAAAGTCTCCTGTGTCACAGGCTTGGTCAGCAGCCCACACCTGTTGAGGGGTGTGGAAACGTTAGGAGGTGGGGCCTAAGGGGAGGAAGTTTTGTATTAGGGGGTGTGACCTTGAAGGACATACTGGCATCTCTGCCCCACCATGAAGTGAAGAGACTTCCTCTGCCATGTGCTCCCCAGCATAACATTCTGGGTCACCCTAGGCCCAACCGACCATGGACTGGAACCTCCAGAACTGTGGGACAAAAGGAAACTTCCTTGTCATAGGTTGAGTGTCTCAGGCATTTTGTCTCAGTGACAGAAAGCTGACCAGCACACACACTTTGCTGAAATTCTCAAGCACAAGGCCCTGAGTTCAAACCCAGTAATGTAAAAAAAGTCCACAGGATTGCCTTCCTGAGTTCCTCCCTGTCTGCAATCTTCCTGGTCCCTTCAGTTCCCAAAAGTTCCCCGGTTTGGTTCTCTGGCTAGAAACAAGGTTCTAGTCACCACTCCACCACACATTGCTCTGAACGTGGACACAAAAATCCTCAAAAGAACTAAGAAGTCAGACCAGCAAGATAGAAAGAGATAACAGCTATGCCAGATGAGTTTTATCCAGGAATTCAAGATTAGTTCAATGCTCAGAAATCAATGTGAATGTGGCATGTTAGAAGTCGACAGAGGGAAAGCCACATAGCCACGTGAATCGACATCAAAAATCACCTGAAAAAATACAATATCCATTCATGACTTCAAACCCTCGGCCGACGAGCAGAACAAGGAAACATGTTGTCCATGACCAGACTGTTCTCGGTCAAATTGAGTGTTTTCCCCATGCCCGTGAGCAGGCAAGGATGTCACTCTCGCTTCTGCTATCCGGTACCACACTGGAATTCTTAGTGCAATAAGGAAAGAAAAAAGTTATGCAAATTAGAAAGGAAAGTGTCCTTTTTTTTCAGATTTCATGATCACCTACGTGGGAAATCTCAAAGGACCAGTTTTTAAAATTCCTGGAACTAATAAATGAATTTAGTGTGATCAGAGAATACAGAAGGTCGATCTTATTTTTAAATAAAATTTATATATTTTTAAGGTGTTCAACGTGATGTTTTGAGATATATGTCATAACTAAGTGATGGCTACAGTCACGCTAATAACCCATCTCCTCGTAGTTACCTTTGTGTACACCAGAGACAACATCTGGGGTCTGCTCTCAGCCAGTTTCTGTTGTTAACAACAGTCACCTGCCACACATAAATCCAACAACATTTCTAACAACAAAAAAGTACTTTAAGTTACTTTCACTGCCTTGTAAAAGATTTCTTTTAAGGAAAGTTAGCGTTTATTGAGGAATTGCTAAATGCTAGTTGCTTTACAAGTATTGTTTCAGTTGTCACAATTTCTACAAAGTTATTTTCTTTGTTTTTATCACATAAACCGTGTGATTAAATCTAGGATTCATCTGTCCACTTTCAAAGTTAAAATAACTTTATGAAAATAACTCAGTCATTAGGAGCAGCAAGAATTGTGCTCTTCTGAATGTGAGTGGTGCCCCTGGCTGTTGAATTCTGTGAGACTTTTTACTCCCTGAATCAGAAGGTCACAGATTACTGGGCCTCCTTGCTTCCTCCTTTCCTTCCCACTGTCATTTGTGCTCTCTTTGCTGTCGTTACGTTACCAATTCACACACACACACAAGAAGAGCAATGCATCCAACCCGACATAACATACAGGTCAGCCTCACAGGAAGATGCTTGCAGACAGTGGCACAGCTGTATAGATTAGACCTACAGTTAGGTCATCTGCCACGTATGTGTCTTTTACAATGCCTTCAGATTTTCCAGAATAAAATTCAAGATCTCTGTTACTACACTGATAGGTTTTGCTTTTTTTATGGTTTTGGTTTGGTTTGTTGGCAGTACTAGGAGTTGAACTCAGGGCCTTGCACTTGCTAGGCAGGTGCTCTACCTTTTGAGCCACTCAGCCAGCCCTTTCCATAGTTTTCATTTGTGTTCTAGGCTTTGGCCTGACATCTGACTTCCTATTAAATGATGGTTACTCTAACAGGTTAACTGGAGCCAGAGGGCCCCAAAGCCGTAAGCATCCATGTACCACGGGGGGAGGTTTAGGATGAGGAGTAACCACCACTCGGTTGATGACTCCTGTCTTATCTTACTATGTCTTTATAAATCTCTGTGTTAATCCCATCTGTACCTCAAATAAGCCATCTGAAGGAGAGGTCCATCTGCACAGAGATCTGGTCCCTGACATTACTGGCACCTTGTGATTTTGACCAGGTCGCTCAGCTTCCCCAAGTGTGCTTTCTTACTGAACATTAAAACAAAGATGACCCCAGCACAGTGTTAAGTTGTGCAGCTGCTGTGACACTTGAGAGGTTCTTCTGCCAAATGCTGGATTCTCTGTCTGGATGTCCGTAGTTATAGCAACTGTTACCCTAGTGTAGCACTAAGTTACCATAAGTGCTGAGGTCCAGGATGCCCGCGAGCACAGCTCAGCCCAGACGCCTCACCTCTACACCCTGTGGCCCGGCTGGGGGAGCACCGCTAGGCTGAGGTCCCTCTGCCCTGGTGCGTTTGGAGCCAAGGACAAGTCTCTACGCTGCACATTCACGCCACCTGCTTCTCTGTGTGGATCGATCGGGTCCACGTTTTTACGTGAGAAACTGAAAACGTACAGAGTGTACTGTTGCTATGGGAACCAAAGATGACAATATTAAACTACCTTCCACTGGCCCTGGAGCCTTGAGTTGAGTTGTAAAGATTTCAGAGTTTCGGCCTCAGTTAAGGTCCGTGCTGAGTTTTTATCGTGTAAATGTTTGTCTTTGAAAAGCATATTGTCACAGATAGCATGAGTAGCGAAGGCAGAGGTAAACAGCCTCTGGAATTATGATGAAAGGAGCCTGAAAGCATGTTAGTTACCCATTGAACTCTACAAATGGCCTTCTTAACATAAAGATTTAGAAAAAAGACGTGGCTAGATTATCTGTTTAAGTGGTTCCATTTTTCACGAGGTCTCATGACTGATTTGTCAGCTTTGCCACTCTATAATCGGCTCTTCTGTTAGATAACTTCCAGAGAAGTTTAAAACAATTTCAATGGTCCATATAAACCTTACAAATAAATATACCCTTATTGGAAACACAGGTGTTTAAAACTAGCTGGGGTTGGCTTTGACCTTTTTCCTGAGGATTTTCTTGGGAAGCTCAGTGGCAGTGCTGTGTGCGTAATGGCAGCGCCTTGGAAGCCTTGGGGAAGAAACCAGGTGAGAAGTGCTTACCTAGCATTTACAAGACCCTGGGCTCAGTCCCCACCAGAGAGAGAGAGAGAGAGAGAAGAAAGAAAGAAAGAATGAAACTACTTTAATCCCAAACATCCTAATCATGTACAAGACACAGTCGAGAAAATTTAGGTTAATGTACCCTGTGCTATAGAAAATGTGGACACTTTGTTTTCAGGTTTTTAAAGCGCACTTTTATGAATAATAAAATAGAAAGTAAGTTAAGTGCAGTTTCAAGGAAGACGGGACAGCCTATCCTCCACCCCTCAAAGACCTAGTTATGAACGCTCACTGAG